TAGTAGTAGTAGTAGTAGTAGTAGTAGTAGTAGTCGTAGCAGTAATCGTGTAAGTAGTAGTCGTAGGCGCATTCGAATTCGTATCCGTGCTAGTAGTAGTAGTAGTAGTCGTCGTAGTCGTCGTAGTAGTAGTAGTAGTAGTAGGAGTAGTAGCAGTAGTAGTAGTACTAGCACTAGCACTAGTAGTAGCAGTAGTAGTAGTAGTAGTAGTAGTCGCAGTAGTAGTAGTAGGGGTAGGAGTAGGAGGAGGACAGGTAGTACTAGTAATAGTAGCCGTAGTAGAGTAGTAGTAGTAGTAGTAGTAGTAGTAGTAGTAGTAGTAGTAGTAGTAGTAGTAGTAGTAGTAGTAGTAGTAACAGTAGTACTGGTAGTAGTAGTAGTAGTAGTAGTAGTAGTAGTAGTAGTAGTAGTAGTAATCGTCGCAGTAGTAGTAGTAGTAGTAGTAGTAGTAGTAGTTGTAGTAGTAGTAGTAGTAGTAGGTCTTTGTAGTATGGCGTCGTAGTAGTAGTACTCGTAGTAGTAGTAGTAGTAGTAGTAGTAGTAGTAGAAGTAGGTGGAATAATAGTAGTAGTCGTAGCAGTAGTAATAGTAGTCGTATGAGGAGCAGTAGAAGTAGTAACAGTAGCAGTAGTAGTAGTAGAAGTAGTAGTAGAAGTAGTAGTGTTAGAAGTGGTCGAAGTAGTAGTCGTAGTAGGAGTAGGAGTAGGAGTAGTCGTAGTAACAGCAGTAGAAGTCGTAGTAGTCGTGATAAGGGGTAATCTAGTAGTCGTAGTGGTAGTAGTAGTAGTAGTAGTTCTAGTACTAGTACTAGTAGTAGTAATAGTAGTAGTGCCCGTAGTAGTAGTAGAGGCAGTCGTAGTCGTATTCGTAGCCGCAGTCGTAGTCGTAGCCGTAGTCGTAGTCGTGGTCGGCGTAGTAGCAGCAGTCGTAGTGGCAGTAGTCGTAGTAGTTATACTCGTAGTTATGCAAGTAGTACTTGTCGTAGTTAAACCAGTTGTTATGCCAGTAGTGCTGGTAGTCGTAATCGTAGATATACCGGTAGTACTTGTCGTCCTCGGCGTCGTCGTCGTCGTAGTTGTAATCGTAGCCTTAGTCGTAGTCGCAGTCGTAGCAGGAGTAGTCGTAGTGTCGTAGTTGTAGTAGTAGCAGTTGAAGTAGTAGTAGTAGTAATAGTAGTAGTAGTAGTAGTAGTAGTAGTAGTAGTAGTTGTCGTCGTAGTAGTAGTAGTAGTTTTCGTCGTAGTTGTAGTCTCAGTCGTAGTCGTATTTGTATTGTTAGTAGTAGTAATGTTAGTAGTACTACTACTAATATCGTAGCGTAGTTATAGTAACAGTAATAGCAGCAGTCGCTGTAGTAGTAGGGGTAGATGTAGTAGTAGTAGTAGTAGTAGTAGTAGTAGTAGTATTAGTAGTAGTAGTAGTAATAGTAGTAGAAGTAGTACTAGTACCAGTGGTAGTGGTAACACTACAAGTAGTCGTAATCTTATTCGTAGTCGTGGTCGCAGTTGTAGCCGTAGTCGTAGTCGTAGTCTTAGTCGCAGCATCGTTGCAGCTGTCGCGGTCGTCGCAGGAGCAGGAGTAGTAATAGTAGTAGTCGTCGTCGTCGCCGACGTCGTCGTCATCGTCGTCGTAGTCGCACTGGTAGCCGTGGTTGTAGTACTAATAGTAGTCGTCGTCGTTTTCGTAGTAGTAGTAGTAGTAGTTGTTGTAGCAGTAGTACTAGAAGCAGAAGAAGTCGTAGTAGTAGTAGTAGTAGTAGTTGTAGTAGTAGTAGTAGTAGTAGCTGTTGTAGTTCATGGAGTAGGACTATGACGAGCCGTTGGGAGAATAGGAACCGTAGTGGTAGTAGAAGTAGTAGTAGTAGTGGTAGTAGTAGTAGTAGTAGTAGTAGTGGTAGTAGTAGTAGTAGTGGTGGTGGTGGTGGTGGTGGTGGTGGTGGCGGAAGTGGTGGTAGTAGTGGTCGTAGTAGTAGTAGTAGTACCAGTAGTAGTAGTAGTCCGTCGTCATCGTCGACGTCTTCGTCGTCCCCGTAGTAGTAGTAGTAGTAGTAGTAGTAGTAGTAGTAGTAGTAGTAGTAGTAGTAGTAGTAGTAGTCGTAGTAGTAGTCGTAGTCGTAGTCGTAGTAGTAGTAGTAGTAGTAGTAGTAGTAGTAGTGGTGGTAGTGGTGTGGTAGTAGTAGTGGCTTGTAGTAGTTAGTAGCAGTAGTAGTAGCAGTCGCCGTCGTCATCGTCGACGTCTTCGTCGTTCCCGTATCAGTAGTAGTAGTAGCAGGTAGTAGTAGTAGTAGTAGTAGTAGTGGTGGTGGTAGTAGTAGTAGTAGTAGTAGTAGTAGTAGTCGTAGTAGTCGTAGTAGTAGTAGTAGTCGTCGTAGCAGTAGTAGTAGTAGTAGTAGTAGTAGTAGTAGTAGTAGTCGTAGTAGTAGTAGTAGTAGTAGTAGTGGTCGTCGTAGTAGTAGTAGTAGTAGTAGTAGTAGTAGTAGTAATATTCGTAGTGTTCGCAGGCGTTCTATTAGCAGCAGTAATAGTAGCAGCAGTAGTAGCAGCAGTATTTGTTAAGTAGTAGCAGCAGTAGTAGTAGCAGCCGTCGTGTTAGTAGTAGTAGTCGTAGGGACAGTAGTAGTAGTGGTAGTCGTAATAGTAGCAGCCGCCGTCGCCATAGTAGCAGCAGCCGTCGTAGTGGTAGGTGTAGTCGTTGTCGTGGTCGTAGCGAAAGCAGTAATAGTGAAGTAGTAGTCGTCGTATTAGCCGTAGTAGCTGTAGTAGTAGTCGTAGTCGTAGTCGCCGTGGTAGTATTAGTAGTAGCCGTTGTAGTAGTAGTAGTAGTAGTAGTAGTAGTAGCAGTAGTAGTAGTAGTAGTCGTAGTAGTAGTCGTAGTAGTAGTAGTAGTAGTAGTAGTAGTGGTAGTCGTAGTAGTTTTAGTAATAGTAGTAGTAGTCGTCGCCGTCGTCGCAGTAGTAGTAGTAGTAGCAGTCGCAGGAGTCGTAGCCGTAGAAGTAGTAGTGGTTGTAGGATCAGTAGTATTCGTAGTAGCAGTAGTATTCGTAGCATTCGTAGTAGTAGTAGTAGTAGTAGTAGTAGTAGTAGTAGTAGTACTAGTACTAGTAGTAGTAGTAGAAATAGTAGTAGTAGTAGTAGTAGCAGTAGTAACCGTAGTAGTAGTAGTAGTAGTAGTCGTCGTCGTCGCCGTCGTAGTAGTAGTAGTAGTAATACTAGCAGTAGTAATAGTAGTAGTAGTAGCAGCAGTCGTAGTAGTAGTAGTAGTAGTAGTAGTAGTCGTAGTCGTAGTCGTAGTTGTAGTAGTAGCAGTACTAGTAGTAGTGGTAGTAGTAGTAGTAGTAGTAGTAGCAGTAGCAGTAGCAGTAGTAGTAGTAGTAGTGTGAAGTATTCGTAGTATTCGTAGAAGTAGTAGTAGTAGTAGTAGTAGTAGTAGCAGCAGTCGTAGTCGTAGTAGTAGTAGTAATAGTAGCAGTAGTAGTAGTAGTAGTAGTAGTAGTAGTAGTAGAAGTAGTAGTAGTAGTAGAGTAGTAGCAGCAGTCGTAGTAGTAGTCGTAGAAATAGTAGTAGTAGTAGTAGTAGTAGTAGTAGTAGTAGTAGTAGTAGTAGTAGTAGTAGTAGTAGTAGTAGTCGTAGTAGTAGTAGTAGTAGTAGTAGTCGCTGTTGTGATACCACACGTACGAGCAAGGAGAAGACGATCCAGACAAGGAATCCGAGTACGAACCACACGATGAGTGGCAATGTTATGTCCACCGAGGCGGTTACGATACATACTGTTGATTCTACGCGTACCAATTCCACTACCCATACCACGGCCAACTTGCCAGCACGACGCGTACGCTTGAGAGAAGCGTTAAGGATGAACAGGCTCGCGCTGATACGAAGGCTACGTGTCATATGCATGAGCATGCTGCCGAATCGTGAGTGATGAATTCGTAGCGCTGATGATGAGAAGCACGTGCAGAATACGACTAAGTAATATCATGGAGGGAGGATGGGGAGGGGAAGGGGAACAGGGACACTGAAGAAGAGGGGAGGGGGGCAGTACAGGAGAGGAGGAGGAGGAGGAGGAGGGGGAGGCGGAGAAGGAGAAGGCGGAGGAGGAGGAGGGGGGGACGAGGAGGGGAGGATGGGGGGGGAGGGGGAGGAGGATGAAGTGAGCGAGGACGAGGGGGAGGAGGAAGAGGGCATGGAGGATGCGGAGACGGGAGGGGGAGGAAAAGGAGGCGAGGGCGCCACCCCGAGGGAGAGCCGAGCGAGGCGTCAGCGTCAGGGGAAGGAGGGCGAGAAGCGAGCAGGAGGAGGAGTAGGAGGAAACAAAGCGAGAAAGGTGGATTAGGAGGAGGGGGAGGTTGTTGGGTGTTCCAGGCGGGAGCGAGGAGGAGGAGGATGAGGAGGGGGAGGAGGAAGCGGATGCGGGAGACGAGGAGAAGGAGAGATGGATTTCTTTGGGGGCTCTCGGGGCTGGGGGGAGAAACATGGAAGTGGAAGTGCAAGGGGCCCTGTAAACATCTACAGTGTTCCAGGCGGGGGGGGGGAGCCTTACGTACAGGGTTTTCATGAGGGGTTCTCGGGGGGAATAGCCGAACGTGGAGGAGAACGGGAAAGCGTGAAGAGGGACGAAAGGCAACATGAGGAGGGGCGGTAACTAGAGAGGGAGTATGAGGAAACGGATGAGGAGACGGAAGCAGGACGATTACATTGGGGAAGGAGCAGAGGGGAGCGGAGAAGGGGCGATGGGAAGAGGTCAATGTGACGATGGAGGATGAGGGTAAGGATCTTCCTCCTGGCGTCAATGTGACGCCAGGGGGAAGTGGATAAGGAGGGAGGCGCATGAGGAGTAAGGACAAGGAGGATCAGGAGGATGAGGTCGACATTCGTAGCCCCTATGATAACCACACTCTCGCATTGTTGAGCTGGTGGGAGGCACGATGTGGAACCAGGGAGGACGAAGATGAAATATGAGTTGGGTGCGGATGGATGTGGATGCGCACCTCATCATGTGTAGAAAGGGGGATGGGGGCACCGCAGAGAGTACATATGATTTTTAGTCCGCTCAGGTAGATCCGGCGTGCCCTTTGCATTTGGTGCAGTCCGCTGCACGGCACGGCCACGTCCTCCGTCCATGTCTCTGTCATCCGCCCAAGCGAGGCGTTAGCTCCTCCCCCCCTCCTCGTTGTCCCCTTCATCCTCCTCGTTGTCCCCGTCATCCTCGTTGTCCCCGTCATCCTCCTCGTCCGACTCCCATGGCTCATCCGTTCCTTCTCTTGCGTTTCCCTTCCTTCTCCAGTGGTTCCTCCTAGTGATCCTGGCTCCTTGTCTCCTCCCCTGTTTCTCCCACCCGCCCTCGTCCTTCTCCTCTCGCTCCTCCGTTCGTTCTCCTCCACGCCTCCCTTCGTATCTTGCTCCCTTGGCTTCCGCCTCCCTCCTCGTCTTCCCCGTCCCCCCCGATAGCCTGCCACCCCCGACACGCCCTTGTCGCCCTGCCCAGGACTTGCACGCAATTCACTGCAGCACGCTCCTCTCTCGTCCCTTCGCCTCCCTCTCCGCTCCTGCCCGGCGGTTGCGATTCTCTATGGGGATTCACACCATTTGTGATGTGCTTTGGGCGCACAGTTCAAGTCACGAGGGGACGCACCTTGGACCATCAACAAGTGGGTGTGTGCAGCCATATTTGTGTCTAGGTGCCAACCCAAAGATCAAGATGCCCAGGTCTGCAGTTGTTTCATTACGTAGTGCCATATATGCATAGACACATCAAAACATATGTATACATATAGGTATCTACAGAGAGAGAGAGAGAGAGAGAAAAAAAAAAAGAGAGAGAGAGAGAGACAGACAGACAGTGAGAGAGCCAGAGAGACAACTGCATGTGGATGTATACATATATGTGCACATACATGTGCGAAGCTATTTCCCAAGCAGCGCTTGCACTTAGGAGCCCCTACTTCTATTCTGAGGAGCTGGGTCTGGCTGGCGGTCTGCCCTCCGTCTGGGCCTGGCTGGCGTTCTGGCGGCTCCGCGTTCGCCGCCGCCGCCCCGTCGCAGCCTCGCCGCCGCCACTCGTCTGGGTCTGGCTGGCGATCTGGCGGCTCCGTGCTCGCCGCCGCCGCTCCGTCGCCGCCTAGGTTCTCTTCTACAAAAATGAATAGGTTCTACCACCTTCCCCCCCCGACTTATGGATTCCCCGGGAACCATCATCGTCGTCGTCATCATCATCATCATGATCGTCGTCGTCATCATCATCATCATCATCATTTTCGTGGGCGTCGTTGGCGTTGTCGGCGTCGTCGGGAGCCTATGCAAACCACCAGTGATTCTGACCCAGTGTCCATCCTACCTGGGAGTTCCTACTATCCCAACCAAACCGAGATCGGCCCCCCCCTCGGTTCCCTGGCAAAAAAATACTATGCGCGCACTCGTTTATCAAAAATCGTACGTTATCAAGAATCCCATGCGAAAATGGGACGAAGTGCGCACGCGCGCGTCGTCGCGCGCGCATGCCGAAATCCATCGAAAATCTCGGGTCCGGAAGGACCGCAAAAGCGAGTGCCAAAAAAACATGTTAGAAAAGCAGGGCTTCGCAACACGGATGTTCAACAAAAGCGTGCGCGCGCTCTTGCGAATTCTTGAGAAAAGCTATAACGTGCTACCAGAACGGGCTACCAAACGGGCTTCGCGCGCGCATGTCGAAATCGTTCGAACGCCCTTGCGCGCATGCTGGGGTGGCACGATGCGTGCCAACGAATACCATGCGAGCCACTCTCGCGCGTCTGCCGCGCGCATTTCGAATTCGTTCCAAAACCTTCATCACTGACGCGAAGACGCCGTCATCGTCGTCGGCGTGATCAGCATCGGCGCCGTCGTTGGCTGCCCCGTCGTCGCTGTCAGCATCGTCGCCGGCATCGCTACAATCATCATCGTGTCTACCGTTGTCGACGTTGCCATGATACCGCGCCCGACCAAGTCGCCGACTCGCACTGAAGTCCCCGCTGGGATATGCCGAGCGGTCAGCGCCACCGCGTTCGCGTCGGTCGCGCCACACCATCTGGCCGATGCGCGGGCTAGTGGCTAGCGCGGCCGCAGAGATGCACCAGTCAACACTTAGCATTCGTCGCAATCGCTTCCGCATGGGTTTTGCAAACCAAGTTGCCGGTGGGTGGGTGGGATGATTGCGCGAGCAGTGGAGTTGACAACCGCAAGATCGGCTAGTGAACTGCACCGCGCTGATTGCACCGCGCTGATTGCACCGCATAGCTTGCACTACATATATTGATTGCACCACGTCGCTTGCGCATAGACTGCATTACATGGTTTGCAACACATAGGTGGCACATCTCGACAGTTAGGGTTGGCACATCCAGCCCACCCGTTCGGGTCCGCCCGCCCGACCCGACCCGCCCGTTAGGTTCCGCTTGCCCGACCCGTTCAGCCCGTTCGGCCTTGCGCATGTTAGTCCGATGGTGCGTCATGTTTGTGGAATGTCCCGCCCGCCCGACCCGACCCGCCTGTTAGGGCGCGCCCTTCCGACCCGACCCGCCCGCTAGTGTCCGACCGCCCGACCCGACCCGACCCGCCCGTTAGGGCGCGCCCGTCCGACTCCACCCGCCCGTTGGGGTCCACCCTCCCGCCGATCCGCCCGTTACGGCCCGCCCGCCCGACCCAAGCCGCCCGTTAGGGTCCGCCCGCCCGATCCACCCGCCCTTTAAGGTTCACGCGTGCTAACTCGATGACGCATCATATTTGAATTGTCCGCCCGCCCGTTCCAACCCGCTTGTTAGGGCCAGCCCGCCCGTCCCGACCTACTCGTTCGGGTCCGCCGGGTCCGCCCGCCCGATGGTAATGGCGATGAATGACCACGAGGGTAGGGATGGTGACGGAAGGGTTTGTGATACTGGTGATGGAAGGGTTGTTGCTGATGATGGCGGTGATGCTGATGGCGGTGATGCTGCCATTGAGACAGGGGAGGATAAGGAGGCGGAGGAAGATGAATATGAAGATGACGGCGACAACGACGAGGCTGATGGTAAAGGGGGAGCAAGGTGTTGGGGATACAGATGATTATGATGCTGGTGATGCTGCTGGTATTGCTAATGCACATGAACATGGACATGGTGATGCTGATGATGTTGATGATCATGGTGATGGCGAGGATGATGATGATGAAAAGGATGAGGATGAGGAGGAGGATACGGATTCGGTTGAGGGTGATGAGGGGTAGTGGAAGGATTGTGAGGGTGACAATGACAATGATGAGAATGATGGCTCGGATGACTGTGGTGCCAATCGTGGTTATAATGATGACCATGATGATGAGGATACGCAGTGCGAGGATGATGGTGATGATGTGGGCATGATGCTGTTGATGATGTTGGCGATCATTCTGATGATGGTACTAAATATGATGACAATGTTGATGACGATGGCGATGATGATGGTGGTGATGGAGATGACGATGATTAATGCTAATGGTGATGGTTATGCGGGTGATGATGATAATCGTGGTGTGGTGATGATGATGACGATGATGATGACGATGATGGTGATAATGATGATCATGATGGTGGTGGTGGTGATGATGATTTTCGGGCGGCTGTCGTCGTCGTCCGTCGTCGTCGTCTTCTTTGTCGTCTTCTTTGTCGTCGTCGTTGTCGTTGTCGTTTTTGTTGTCGCCGTTGTCGTCGCCGGCTTCTTTTTCGTTGTTGTCGTCGTCGTCGGTGTTGTCGTTGTCGTTGTCGTTCGCGTTGGCGTTGTCATTGTCATCATCATGATCGTTGGCGTCGTTGGCGTTGTCGTCGTCGGGAGCCTATCCAAAACACAGATGGTTCTGACCCAATGTCCATCCTACCTGTGAGTTCATACTATCCCAGCCAGGCCGGTATCGGCCTCCCCTCGGTCCCCTTGCAAAAAATATTATGCTCGCGCACTCGTTGATCAAAAATCGTCGCAAGTTATCAAGAACCCCATGCAAAAATGGGACGAAGTGCGCACGCGCGCGTCGTCGCGCGCGCATGCCGAAATCCATCGAAAATGTCGGTTTCGGGACGATCGCAAAAGCGAGTGCCCAAAACACATGTTTAAAAAAAACAGGGGGATGTTGAACAAAAGCGTGCGCGCGCTCTTGCGAATTCTTGAGGAAAACCATAAGTTGCTCAACATCGCGTGCGCATGTCGAAATCGTTCGAACGCCCTTGCGCGCATGCTGGGGTGGCACGGTGCGTGTCAAAGAATACCATGCGAGCCACTCTCGCGCGTCTGCCGCGCGCGAATTTCGAATTCTTTCCAAAACCTTCACCACCGACGCGAAGACGCCGTCATCGTCTCTGGCGTGATCATCATCGGCGCCGTAGCTGGCTGCCCCGTCGTCGCTGTCAGCATCGTCGCCGGCATCGCTACAATCATCATCGTGTCTACCGTTGTCGACGTTGCCATGATACTGCGCCCGACCAAGTCGCCGACTCGCATTGAAGTCCCCGCTGGGATATGCCGAGCGGTCAGCGCCACCGCGTTCGCGTCGGTCGCGCCACACCAGCTTGTCGATGCGCGGGCTAGCGCGGCCGCAGAGATGCACCAGCCAACACTTAGCACTCATCGCCATCGCTTCCGCATGGGTTTTGCAAACCAAGTTGCCGGTGGGTGGGTGGGATGATTGCGCGAGCAGTGGAGTTGACAACCGCAAGATCGGCTTGCAACACGTGGCTTGCAACACGTAGGTGGCACAAGGGTTGGCCGTCCCGATCCGGCCCACCTGTTCGGGTCCGCCCCCCCGACCCAACCCGCCCGTTAGGCTCCGCTTGCCCGACCTGTTCAGCCCGTTCGGGCTCGCGCGTGTTGGTCCGATGATGCGTCCTGTTTGAATGTCCCGCCTGCCCGACCCGACGCGCCTGTTAGGGCCCGCCCTTCCGACCCGACCCGCCCGCTAGTGTCCGACCGCCCGACCCGACCCGACCCGCCCGTTAGGGCGCGCTCGCACGACTCTGCCCGCCCGTTGGGGTCCACCCTCCCGCCGATCCGCCCGTTAGGGCCCGCCCGCCCGACCCAAGCCGCCCGTTAGGGCCCGCCCGCCCGACCCACCCGCCCTTTAAGGTTCACGCGTGCTAACTCGATGACGCATCATATTTGAATTCTTCGCCCGCCCGATCCAACCCGCCTCTCGGGGCCAGCCCGCCCGACCCGACCTACTCGTTCGGGTCCGCCCGCCCGATGGTGATGGCGATGAATGACAGCGAGGGTAGGGATGGTGACGCAACGGTCTGTGATACTGGCGATGGAAGTGTTGTTGTTGATGATGGCAGTGATGCTGATGGAGGTGAATTATGCCGATGAGAAAGAGGATGATGAGGATGCGGAAGAAGATGAATATGAAGATGACGGCGGCAACGACGAGGCTGATGGTAAGGGGGAGCAAGGTGATGGGGATAAAGATGATTATGATGCTGGCGATGCTGCTGGTAATGATAATGCACATGAGCATGAACGTGTTGATGATGAGGTTGATGATCATGGTAATGACGAGGATGATGAGAAGGGGGATGAGGATGAGGAGGAGGATAAGGATTCGGATGATGTTGATGAGGAGTAGTGGAAGGATTGTGAGGATGACAATGACAATGATGAGAATGATGGCTCGGATGACTGTGGTGCCAATGATGATTATGATGATGACCATGATGATGAGGATACGTAATGCGAGGATGGTGGTGATGATGTGGGCATGATGCGGTTGATGGTGTTGACGATCATTCTGATGACGGGACGAATTATGATGATAATGATGATGACGATGGTGGTGGTGATGGGGATGATGATGATGATGCTGATGATGATGATGATGATAATGATGATGATGATGATGAC